GAACTAAATGGTGATTACTTTGCCTTGCTAGTTGATGAATCTTTTGATACGTCCCGCAAAGAGAAAATGGAGATTGTCTTACGGTATGTTGATAGAATGTGATTTGTGATGGAGCGACTTATTGATGTAGTTCATGTTTAAAATACTTGTGCTTCATCTTTGAAGAGTGCAATTGTTAATTTACTTGATCAACACTCCTTAAGTCTATCATATGTACGTGGACAATATTATGATGGGGCAAGCAATATGCAAGGTGAGATTAATGGCCTTAAATGTTGATTAAGAGAGAAAGTAGATCGGCTCATTCCATTCATTGTTTTGCTCATCAACTCCAACTTACCCTTGTTGCGGTTTCTAAGACATGTCTTTAAGTGGGGGAACTTGTAGTATTGGTTTCCAATATTTTGAATATATTAGGATCTTTGTTTAAGCGTATGGATGAATTTCGAGAATCTAAAAAAGAAAGAATTCAAGAGGCATTAGATATGGCTGAGCTTACAACCGGTCGGGGCTTGAATCAAGAATTTGGTCTTTCAAGAGCATGTGATACTCGTTGGGGATCTCACTTTAAATCTTTTAATAATTTTATTCTGATATTTGGCTCTATTCTCGATGTTCTTGAATTGCTTGTTCTTGATGCACATTCTACAGATGAAAGATCCAAGGCAATGGGATATCTCAGGGCTTGTCAAACATTTGAGGTTGCATTCATGTTACATTTGATGAGAGATATTTTATCAATCACAAATGAGCTCAATAAATGCTTACAAAAAAAGAGCAAGACATTGCAAACTCCATGCTACTTGTTGAAGTAGCAAAGAAAAGGTTGCAAAAGTTAAGGAAAGAGGAATGAAATTCTCTTATTGCGGAGATATCTGCATTTTGTATCAAATATGATATTTTGATACCTCAGTTTGATGGGCTATACGTTAGTTCTTTAAGATCACGTCGTAAACCTGATGACTGTACAGTCTTACATCATTATCGGGTTGATGTATTTTGCAAAATTATTGATTGGCAAATTCAAGAACTTAATGAACGTTTTGACGAAGTGACAACTCATTTGCTTCATGGAATTGCTTGTTTGAATCCAATTAACTCATTTTCAAGTTTTGACATCAGGAAAATAATGAGAATGGCTGAGTTATATCCTGATGACTTTGATGAATTTAGTATGGGTGCTCTTGAGAATCAACTTGCAAGTTATATTATTGATGTTCGTGATGTTGATGAAAGATTCTCCGATCTACATGGACTTTGTGATCTTTCAAAAAGATTAGTTCAGACAAAGAAGCATTCAAATTATCCTCTTGTATTTCGCTTAGTGAAACTTGCTTTGCTTCTGCCCGTTGCTACCGCATCCGTTGAAAGAGCTTTTTCGGCGATGAAGTTTATCAAGAATGACTTACGAAGTCGAATGAATGATGAGTTCTTTAGCGGTTGTTTGGTGCCTTATGTAGAAAAAAATGTGTTTGATAGTATTTCTAATGATGCTATTATTAAAACATTTCAAGATATGAAACCCCGTCGAGTGCAGTTGTAATAATGTACTTAGTTGTTTTTTGTTGATCTCATTAGTCATTAGGTCCTTGTAACTAATACAAGACTTGTTTTTTGTATTCTCTTTTGAAAGTCTTGTTACTATGATATGTTTATCTTAACACTATCTTTGTGTTGAGAACTTCTCTTTCTATTAATAAAATCTGTTAGCATCTATTTTTTTTTTGGTTTTGGTTGGCTAGCTTCATTGTGTATTTGACTTTTAAAATTTTTGAACCCCCTTCGCAAATATCCTGCCTCCGCCACTGCTAGTAAGCTTAACCAAAGACTTTTATCTACTATATATTTTTGCAAAATAGTACATTCTCTAGTATCATTCTAATACTGTAGACATAATATCGTAGAGAATGTTTTCTTTTGCAAATACATCACAAGCACATTTGAGTTCATCGTTAGTAAGAGGTAGTCAGCAGTCCAATAGCCAATCTTCTCCTTTCCAAAAATCACCATGTGAGGAGAAGTGTTTAGCACCTATAAAAAGCAAGTCAACACCGATTAATTAAAAGATTGAAATAAAACACATATTCACGCCCTCAATAGCAGTAAGTCACATAACAAAATAAATATGATTTTATAAAATAAAGAATTGAAATAAGAACTAATTTGGCACCAGAGCAATCAAGTGACGACAATTTTGTTCTATTCTTCATATTACATTCACAAAGAAGTCAAGCCAGATACTACCCAAATTTGGATTTTTTTTTCCGAATAGCTACTGGAAGTCCATGGCGTTAAGACCATTCCAACAACAATAACAACAACAACAAACCGTAGTTTCCCATAAGTGGCGTCTTGGGAGGGTAATATGTTCGCAGTCTTACACCTATACCTGGAAGGGCAGTGAGACTGTTTCTAATAGACCCTCGGCTAGAGAACGACTGAAGAAGAAATGGTAATTGCAACAAGTAGGAATAAATGCAAGATGAAATAAGTTTGAATCCAAAAATGCGGTCAAACTCTAGATAGAAATATTCATTTATGTAGCCAAAAAAGGCAACCTAGATGGCCATTGTTGGAGCTGGAAGGTGGACTTGCCCGTGACTTGAAGATGGAGAACCCATTTTCACATCAAATAGTGGGCAGCTCTACAAATGGGTGGGTTCTTCGGAGGCTATTAAAAATTAAGCAGTAAACACATCAAATTTAACGTTGAATCAGAAACATGCTGAATTATAATTTCACACATCAAATTTGGCGTTGAATTAGGAACATGCTGAATTATAATCTCACTACATGCTGTTTAAGATGTTTTTACCTTTCAATCATTTTATTTTATCTTAATTTGTTTCTTTTTTCATTGATTAGTTCATCAAAATGTTTGGGTTCAACCACGAAAACTCCTTAAGACCCATGTACCTCTTTGTGGCTGTCTTCTCCTAGGCAAATACTTGAAACAAAATGGATGGCAGGGGTGATTATAGAAGGAGAGAGATCTCTGAAAATAGATTGACAAATATATGTCAGATACAATCGTAGTAAGTTATGAAAAAGTAAGTTAAATGAGAAAAATAAAAAAGGAGATTATTTTTGAAGTTAAGACCATTCCATTAAAGTTAAACAAAGACTTAAAAATTATTTTTGAAGTACACCTTCCATTCATTCTCTGTATAAGAAGATGCCTGACCATAAAAATTATGTGTTTCTAGAGAGCACAATAAAGCAGAGTGGAATCAATCATATGTTTCTTGGTTTCTTTGACATTTGCTGCTTGCAGCAGAAATTTTTCACACATTTTTACTACTTTATCACATGCACTACATGTGTATTTATGGACTCTCCTTACCTAGTATTGCTCGTAATGTATTCTTTTGGAATAATACAATTCCACTGGCGGTAATTATTTTTTATAATTTGTTAAATTCAAAACCCTTTATCAGCTTTCTCAACATATGCTTTTTTTTTCTTTTTCTGGAGGTTATTATACTATTTTTCAAATTCATGTTCATCATATACATGAGCTTTTGCTCCCTTCACTTTATCTTCTGAATTGGAATATACTTAAACTGTCAAGTTTTTCATTCTTCTTTCACATTTGACCTTTTCTTTGTTATTTAGCCTTTTTATGCTTTATATCTAGAATTAATGGCTACAAACATTGATTCATACTTATTTGACTTAGTTCTTACATGAGAAAGAGGAGCTTAGTTTATAAAAGCTTGGCTAACAAGAAATTGAGCTAGTTAAGGATTTGACTAGTTTGTTTAAAAGAGTTGAACAAGAGATAGAAAAAATCCGACTTGGCGATTGCTCAGATTGCTACCCATGTGGACTTGAAAAAGCCTATTTGGAACCACTCTATGACCGAGATGTATTAAGTGGGTACTTAAGAATTGAGAGCCATAATACACCCCGATCTACCCGGCAAGCATTAACTTAGTATACCCATTTCATTTACACCCAGGTGAAGATTACATCCCTAGGCTTTCTCTTAATTTATTTAAAACACCAAAAATATTTAATTCTCTAGTTGTTATTACTTAGTCTAGTTTCTTAGTTGTTAACTTAGATAACAATCAACCACATTGTTTGAAATTATAATTAAGCTATTTCACGTTCTCTTCTTGAGTATTTACTTTAATATCGATCTTAAACTCTCTGTGGAATTCAACCTCGACTCAATTTGGGTAATATAATTGCAATGACCGTTTCCTACTTAATATTGAGTGTGGATTAGATGTGATCAATTTTTGGCATCCTTGCCAGGGAGCTTTTACGGTGTTAGCTAGATACTTGAGTTTGTTTCTTGAATATCTTCTTTTATTTTCGTGATTCTAATTTGTTGAAGTGATAATAGGTACCAAATGGCGAACAACGAATATTGAAATTTGCCATTGGGAGAGGTGGATGGCGAAGAGGAGCAACTTGATGAAAGCCTCAAGCTCCACAATAAAATCGCTGAGGCCGTGTTCAACAAGACAAAGTGCCTCGACCCCCCTTACCTCTACCACCACAACCACAACCACAAGCAGTGTAACATCGGATTTCGCCCAACGAAAGTTATGCAAGTGACATAGTTCCCCCTTGCATTAGGGCAGAAAACTTTTAAATTACCAATGTGATGCTTACTTTACTCGAACAACGAGATTATTTCACTAAGGCACCGAGTCAAAATGCTTATAAGCATTTGAAGGGTTTTGTGGATACGTGTTGGGGGAGCAAACAAGCAAATATTTCGGAAGATGCTTTGAGGCTAAGACTTTTTCTCTTCTCACTAAGGGCAAGGCTTTGGATTGGTTGGAACACTTGCCTAATCATCTATCCATACTTGGGATGATTTGGCGGCAAAGTTTATCTCAAAGTTTTTCTCTCCCAGGAACATGGCTACTCTTTGGGATGGAATATTAGCTTTGAAGCAAGATGCCAATGAACCTTTGCATAAAATTTGGGAGCAGTATCATAAAATGGTGAAGCAGTGCCCAAATAATGATATGACTAACAACATGATCCAACAAGCTTTCTACTGTGGTATAAATACTACGAACAAATATATGGTCAATCAGTTGGCCAGAGGAAACTTTATGACAACACCTTATGTAGAGGTATATGTAATTCTTGATGAGATGACAGAAACTTCTTCTGCTTGGCAATCCCGCTAATGTTCCCCAAGATGACCCCAACATGATCCATCTTCATAAAGTGTTGCAAGACCATGTGCAAGCTATTATCGAATTGACAACAACCATGACTCAATTTGCTAAGGCCGAACTTCATCAAGTACAAGCTCATAAGAAATTTCATGTTATGGAGAGCGTAAATATTTTGGCCAACAAGAAGAGGACCAAGGGTACATAATTTCAATCCCGCGTAGAGAATTATGCATAAATGATGGTAGCTTTGATCAAGATGATTTCTATCAAGAGCAAGAAGAAGAGCTACAATTTGTGAAAAATTACCAAGGACAAAAGAGAAATTTCTGAGATTCCAATCAAAATCAATGGCGTTCTCAGAATAACCAAGGCAATTGGGTTCTAATAACCAAGGGAATTGGCACAACAACAACAACCAGAAAAATTGGGGAGGCAATAATCAAGAGAATTGGGGAAACAATAACAATCATGGAAATCGAGGATCGGGTATTCAAAGGCCCTAAATGTACCAACAACCTAGTAACTCACCTCCTTATCCTTCCCATGGTTCGAGTTTCAAACAATGAAATGGGCAGTATTGAGAACATGTTCAAGCAAATGATGGAAGAGGCGGGAATGCACCCACCTCAAAATGAAAGGAAACTTGTGGATGATACCAAGTGATCCAAGAGGAAGAAATATCAAGCAATGATGTTCAAGTACAAGATGAAATTCGAATTAAAATTGATGATAGTGTGGAGGAGACCTAAGAAGAGGAGAACTCGTCTATTGAACACATTATTGACATACCGAAATCGGTAGTGCAAAAGGTTAAGGCACCCTTTCCAAAGCCTCCCCCTCCTTACCATCAAAGGCTTGCTAAGTTTGTGAAAGATCTTGTGACCAATAAGAGGTAGATGAATTTTAAAACTATCAAGGTCATTCATCAAGTGAGTGCGCTTGTTCATTCTATGGATCCTAAGTTGGAGGATCCCAGTGCTTTCATGATTCCTTTACTACTGGGAGTGCCGATTTTTCTAAAGCTCTTTGTGATCTTGGGACGATTATTAATTTGATGCCCTACTAGTTATTTTAAACTTTGGCAATTAGGAAATCAATACCCACATCTATGAAGTTTCAAAAGGTTGATCGTACTATGAAGAGGCTATTGGGAGTGATTAAGGATGTGTTGGTCTGGGTTGATAAGTTTATTATTCCGGCGGACTTTGTTATTCTAGATTGTGAGGTTGATTATGAAGTAACTATTATTTTTGAAAGGCCTTTCCTTGCTACGGGTAAGGCCTTTTATGATGTGGAAGCCGGAGAACTCACTTTCATGGTTGGTGATGAATAAGTAGTATTCCATGTGTGTAAGTCTATGAGGCAACCAAATAGCAATGAAATGTGTTCTTTCATG